GTTTTATAAAATGATTGACCATGAATTGTCAAAAAATGAGACGTTCAAAATTAGACAGATTTGATAACTGCATGTAAATAAAAATGTCTTACATTTGTATCTAAAAGCAAGATTGATACTTTATAATGCATGTTATCAGCCGTAATATTATAATCTAATTATAATATCACCCAGGAAAGGGAAGCAGATAATTAAGGAAATATCTAAGCTAGAACAGATATGATAACGACAACCATTCAATACAAGTCGTGCAGTATATATCTAACAATGGCACATTCCTCAGTGCACCTGTTGTTGTGTAGTACAACATGGCAGGGTCCACATAAGCATGAAGGGCTAGCGTCAGTGCTATAGTGGTACAATCCAATGTTAACAATAGTATATCAGTGTTGTGTTAAGGTGTACCTGTCTTTGACCTTTGGTCTGGCTCGCCAATACTCTTTTTCACTGCCACCTGACCTAAGTACACATAATCATAACATATTGTATTCATATCTGTACCATATGAGTACCTCGTCATTTCTGACTTATTTTGTATGTACACTTGTATTCATTTAATGTTTTGCATCACTATTTTAACATTACAATATGACTTAACAACTTTATTTTTCATTTATACTCCAAGGTTTCAGGACAATACAACACCTGTAGTCCATTGTTTCAGGACAATACAACACCTGTAGTCCATTGCAGAGTTTTGCTATAGTCATAGTCATACTTGGTGTCAGACTTGCCAGTGTTTACGCACCAAATTTAGTGGAAATTGGGCCATTTTTTTGTTCAGGTATTGAATTGAAATTAAAACATAACTGACGGATGGGAGGGCAGACACACTTAAATGAGTATATATCAGTGTGTATACTAAAGATTTAATCTTCTTTTTTAACTTTTGGTGGAAGTTAAGTTATCTCATGATTCTTTAACAAGGGGTTAAATTATCAGGTATAAAACTGGAGTGTACAGTCATGCCCCCAAACCTTAGGTATACTGGTGAGGTTCAGAATTTAGAATGCACCAGTGTTTTGTGAATTGAAGACCTATTCCATGATACCAGTACTGTACATTGCATTGGTCTGACTTTGTAATCACTAGTAACAATAAATGTGGATGCTTGGTAACATCCAATATCATACACATACAAAAAATGTAATCACAGAAAAATACATTTTAAAATTGAGAATGAGAAACATATTCTATCTTATTTTCCATGTTTGTACCTATGATTGAAAATTAGATACACTAGTTATAACAGAAGTACATTTTTTCCTTGTTCACTGTTCAAGCCTAAAAGTTGTGACCTCCAGCACCACATCATCTAGTCGAGAACCGCTGACCACTCTCTCCTCAAACAAGACATCCCAGAGTGATCATGGTCCCCTCTATCATAGCAACTTATTTAGTTTTATGTAAGCTTGATCTTTTTTGTTCAAAGGGGAACCTACATATGGAATTTGAGAAGAATCTTTCAAGTACTTCTTGATAAAGGTTACTTGCTCCACAATTGACAATTGGAAACCTTTTGATTAAATTTCTTCCAATTAACAGTTCTCAAGAAATAATGAAAACAAACATGAATTCTTCAAATCCAAGATGGTTGGTTCTGCCTGACAGTCTTATTCTTTTTCCAATAATTCCTAAAATTAAGGATTATCAACTCTGGATAAAAGGGAACATCGGGATGAAATTTGAGAAAAAATTGTTCCTAATTCTTCAAGAAATAGCAATAACAACCTTGACCTGTCAAATCCAATATGGCTGCCTTGTGGCCATTTTGTTTTAGTAATCAGTCCCAAAATGAAACTTGAACAGCAATGGACCATGGAGAACATGAAATTTGAGAATGACCTGTCAAATACTTCTTGAGAAAAAAGTGATAAGAAGAATGTTTAAGGAGTGGCTGATGACAGATGGACAACAAACCATAGATGAAGGGCAATTTGATGGTGGGCTAAAACAGGTTTAAATGCAGCTTATGTCAACAGCTAGATACTTTTTACATGATCATAGTGATGAATTGACTATTCGTGATAAAACTACCTGGATCACCATATATAGACATAGACATTAATACAAATTGCAGAAATATAAAAACACAGTATAATTACAACAGGTTCTTTAACCTTTAGATCAATATTGGATATGTAACAAGGAAACACAATTTGCACAGGAAGACAATTGTTTTAACTTTTACCCTGATGTAGCACAAGTCCTGTCCTGTCTTAGATTTATAGATAAATGGAAAAATTGATGCGTGGCACTGTATTACAAAGGCTATGATATATGACCATGAACCCCAGTAGTAACAATAAAGGATACATGTACATTATATTACTATTCAGTTTATCCACCTACATACTAAGATTACCAGACAAATCGGCAATCTTTGCTGTGTACTTGAGCTGCTGACATACAAACATCACACACATTCAAGTAAAAATAACACCAGATCATATTCACATGAACATCCTATTTTAACATTTACCATATTCTATCGATTTTTATCTGCTTTCATACAAAGGTAGGTTTTGTGCATAAGAGAAACACCTTACCCTGTTTTTCACCAGATTAAGTATGTGACGTTATTCTGTCAACATTAGATATCACAGTGTGTTATCTGTGTGGACTGTATCGGATAGAAGTGTAAGAGGGTACTCCATGATTTATACAGGTATCAACACTGACCTGCTATAATACCCGTAATGATAGACATTTACATGTAGTGTATGAAACTTTATATACATGTATGTATATTATACAGAATGATCCCAAACCTGACATAAAAGCACATTTATAAAGTTATGACATTTTTCGATAAAAGTACTAACATAGTAGATTGCTGTTACCCACAAATGCCATAGTTATCAATGCTGATATAACAGTTTCTATGTGGAATACTGTTATACAAGGAAATTTCCATATTTGCCCAATTTTATTTTGGACATTCACATTTTAATAACTACATATATATTATGCTGTTTACTAATGTTCGCTGTAATGATAAATTCTTCTCTTTGTTGAGGGCAAAAAGGGCGAAAATTAAACTGCGGCGAAAAGTTCTTTGTATAGAGTATAACAACCTTTAAAGGATAAAAGACAGGTGTACGTAGTTCATACATCAGACTTCCATGATTGATTTTCTACTGAATCTGGTTTTGTGTTGACCTTCTATCATGCTAAATCTGGCTTTGTGTTGACATTCTATCATGCTAAACCTGGTTTTGTGTTGATATTCTACCATTCTAAATGTTGCCTTTTGTGGACATTCTATACCATACAAACCCCGGCCTTGTGTAAAGAGTCTATATATAGTGTGTTGACAATCTGTTTTCCTGTACCTGGCTTGGTGTAGACAGCTACCATACAGAATTTGGCCTTTAATCAAAACTGAATCTGATATTGTGTTAACATTGTACTGAATTTGGCCTTTTGTTGATACACTCCTGAATTTTGCCTGATGTTTTCTTTTACAAGCAATATAGAATCTGGTCTTGTGCTGACTTTGTGTATACCAATTGTGCTGGCTTAGTGTATACAAACAATGTGCTGACTTTGTGTATACATGCACCATGTGTGTATAGTATGTGCTGTCTTGGTATATACCATGTGCTGACTTAGTGTATACCATGTATGTGCTGACTTAGTGTATACCATGTATGTGCTGACTTTGTGTATACCATGTATGTGCTGAATTTGTATATACCATGTATGTGCTGACTTAGTGTATACCATGTATGTGCTGACTTAGTGTATAGCATGTATGTGCTGTCTTAGTGTATAGTATGTGCTGACTTAGTGTATAGTATGTGCGGGCTGACTTAGTGTATAGTATGTGCTGACTTAGTGTATAGTATGTGCGTGCTGACTTAGTGTATAGTATGTGCTTACTTAGTGTATAGTATGTGCTGACTTAGTGTATACCATGTATGTGCTGTCTTAGTGTATAGTATGTGCTGACTTAGTGTATACCATGTCTGTGCTGACTTTGTATATACCATGTGCTGACTTAGTGTATAGCATGTGCTGACTTAGTGTATAGTATGTGCTGACTTTGTATATACCATGAGCTGACTGAGTGTATACCATGTATGTGCTGACTTTGTATATACCATGTATGTGCTGACTTAGTGTATACCAGGTATGTGCTGACTTTGTATATACCATGTGCTGACTTAGTGTATAGCATGTGCTGACTTAGTGTATAGTATGTGCTGACTTAGTGGATAGTATGTGCTGACTTAGTGTATAGTATGTGCGTGCTGACTTAGTGTATAGTATGTGCTGACTTAGTGTATACCATGTATGTGCTGACTTTGTATATACCATGTGCTGACTTAGTGTATAGCATGTGCTGATTTTGTACTATTATCCATGGCTATGTGCTTAAAATTCAACCCTGAACCATTTGTCACATACAAAGTAATCATAAATAAATACAATGCTCCCTGTTATCACACTATCAACAGATACCACTTAACCTTGTGTAAGTATTGCCATCGACCTTGAGAAGTACTTCATACAATGAGTACTTTGACAGCTCAAGGTTCTTTTGATCAAAATAACATGAATTATCTTTATCCAAACAGAATAAAGGTACTGATGCAATAGTTCTTTAATTGAAATCATCAAGTTTAATAGCAAACCCTGGAATATATCAGAAATAAGTAGAAATTAAGTCAAAACATTAAATGGTGTAGTTGTTAGGGTTAGTTAAATAGTTCTCAACGAAATAACAGTTATATCTAACAGAACATAATATTTGGAACCAAACATATTGTATGCAAATTGTACCAGTATTTACATAAAGCTATTAATTTATCATACAATCTTCTTGTATGTAGAATGGCAATTATTACAGATACTAATTAGATTTTTCATTAGGTTAATTTCATAGCATGCTTTTACAATTCATTGGTACAGTTTCCATATAGGTAGTAAATGACTTCTGTCAAATGAACAAGGTAATAACTAATAACAAACACATTATCAAAGTGAGATGTTACCTGATGTCTAATTCCACTATATCAGCTAAGTGATGGGACAAACAGGTGTGTTCATCTCTGAAAGTGTGGCAGTGAACACGTCAGTCATAGTAAACACCTCTTAAATCTTGACCCTTTTTTCCCCATCGATCATCTCACCACTCGCAATTTCTGTCTGATCGCCATTTCACTTTTCCTTCTCCAATACCCTTACCATTTTACCTCTTCCCTTTGATCCCGACACGATTCAACCACTTCCCTCTGATTGGCTCACCATTCCACCCTTTCCTCTGCTAGACTTGCCATTCCAAACCTTCAATCTGATCACTTCACTAATCCAAACCTTCCCTTTGATCCCCTCACCACTCCAAACCTTCCCTTTTTTCAATTGATCCCCCACCACTCCAAACCTTCCCTCTGATATTCTAACCACTCCAAACCTTCCCTCTGTTTCCCTCACTATTCCAAACCTTCCCTCTGATTCCCTCTCCACTCCAAACCTTCCCTCTAATTCCTCAACATTCCAAACCATTCCCTCTGCCTCCCTCACCACTCCAGACCTTCCCTCTGATTTCCACACCATTCCCTCTGACTCCCTCACCACTCTAAACCTTCTCTCTGATTCCCTCACCATTCCAATTCTCCCTATGATTTTCTCACAATTCCCTCACCACTCCAAACTTTCCCTCTGACTCCCTCACCACTTCAAACCTTCCCTCTGACTCCCTCACCACTCCAAACCTTCCCTTTGACTGCCTCACCACACCAAACCTTCCCTCTGATTCCCTCACCACTCCAAACCTTCCCTCTGACTCCCTCACCACTTTAAACCTTCCCTCTGATTCCCTCACCACTCCAAACCTTTCCTTTGACTGCCTCACCACACCAACCCTTCCCTCTGATTCCCTCACCACTCCAAACCTTCCCTCTGATTTCCTCACCACTCCAAACCTTCCCTCTGACTCCCTCACCACTCCAAACCTTCCCTCTGATTCCCTCACCATTCCAAAACCTCCCTTCATATCCCCTCAACCTTTCATCCCTTCCCACCTCAAACCTTCCCTCTGATTCCCTCACCACTCCAAACCTTCCCTCTGATTTCCTCACCACTCCAAACCTTCTCTCTGATTTCCTCACCACTCCAAACTTTCCCTCTGACTCCCTCACCACTCCAAACCTTCCCTCTGATTCCCCCACCATTCCAAAACCTCCCTTCATATCCCCTCAACCTTTCATCCCTTCCCTCTGACCTCATTACCCGTCCGATTTTCCCTCTTGATCTCCTTATCCCTACTATTCTGACCCTTCCCTCATATCCTCTAACCATGCCACTCTTCCCTGTAATCCCCATACCAATCTATTCTTTTCCTCCTACTTTTTCACCATTCTTTTCCTTCCATCATTCCTTTCATCTGATCTCTTTTCACTTTCCATCTTGTCTCTTAATTATTCTTTCATCTGAACTCTAATCCTTCCAACCAACAAGAGGCCCAGAGGGCCCGTATTGCTCACCTGGAAATGTTTGCAAATTGAAGTTGGAATAGCCAGATGTTGCTGGTAGTGTACATGTATTACATGGTTAGTCAGGGGTTATATTTATATGCAATTGGACAAAATCCTGTCATTCCTACAGCAGAAGAAGGATTTTGAAGAATTTGCTATGTTTCCCCTATTAGGCCCCGCCCTTCTGCCCCCAGGGGGGCCCCACTCACTGTTTATTCAAAATAGAGTCCCCTTGGCCTAAGAATGCTCCAGACCAAAATTAGTCAAAATCTACTTTGCCGTTCAGGACAAGAAGCGTTTTAAATGAAAAGTTGACAGACCGACGCCGGACGCTGCGGTATGGCCTAAGCTCACCATGGTCCTTTGGACCAGGTGAGCTAAAAATGAAGATTAGAAGCTTTGATTATATAATTATATTCATAAAATTAACTATAGTTTTGATTTAAGAGAAAATTATATAATTACTAGAACTCAGTACTTGGTAAATCTATGATTGTCACTATTTAAAAATATTGTGAAAACTTACTTTAAAACATGTATTCATCAATAATTCAAAACAAATAAAAAATCCTACAAAAATGTTGGCTTACTGTATACAGCATAATGCATACTGATACCAGGTAAGGCAACACAATCCTTATACTATGTATGCTAGTCATGCCCTTTGAGATCTATCATATGCCACATGTATTTAAGATGTTAGGTGTACTGTACATTACATGCCCTTTGAGATCTATCATATGCCACATGTATTTAACATGTTAGGTGTACTGTACATTACTGTCACCTTGAAGGCATATCTAAAACCTGATGTATTAATGCATGGTGATAATGAGCAGTCACCTACAGGACAAAGATAGTTTACATAAGGTGAAGTCATTTCTCACCATCTACACAGATTGACTAAATTAATAGTGATGATTCTGTTGTGGTAGCCGTGAAGTGTACAACCAGCACTTTCCATCACAGGTGTATGGAACTTTTATTTTTATTCTACAGCAGCACAACATATATTATAAAAACACCTTTCTACTGTTTATACAATAAAAGTGTACATTTATAACGAGATCACCTGTTAATCCCATTAATTGCTGTCATACATTTCCACATCAAAAAGGTAATTTACAGTAAACCATGCCGTTATATGATCCTTGGCTTACTTTCATCTTGTATGTGCATATGTATACTCTCCTGTGCGAGGAGGTAAAATATTCCAAATTATAACATTGTATTTGATATGCAATGAATATTCATGATGAAGGGCAACATAATGAATGATTAACATAATAGAAATAGAATCAACACTATTAACCACAACTTTTCTGACAGAACACTGCCTTATGTATCTAAACTATATAGTTGTTATAGTACACTGTTTGTGCATGTGCGAATTTATAGCAAATGTTACTTGTAATATGTCTGTAGAATGACATTATTATCGTTGTTTTATATCATTGTCTGTGTATTTATTACACAGCCGTGCGATTAAGTACTCTGAATATAGTTCAATGCATAGATATCCCACTGTCATGTTGTAGATGTTTAAGTTGTACACTTTTTATATCGTAAATTGTCTACAGATCTAGAGATGTTTAAATAGTACACTGTTGATATATTACATAGTAAACAGTAGTATAATGTATTTATAGTATACTGTGTATATATAGTAAAATGTCTATGAAGTCCACAGTTTACGAAGTAGATGGATTAATAGTACACTTTCTATAGAGTGCACTGTGTAATATCTTTAATACACAGTTTCTATAGTAGATGTGAAACTGTATACATAGTACATGGCCTAACATCAAACTTGAAGGAGGGACTTGGGTAGATGATATGGTACAGTATTACTAACACTTCATAATACCTGTCTTTACCGGCACTTGATTTTATGAACAATTACATTATATCAGTTAACCAATAACTATACCACTTCACTTTCCCAAAACTCGCATCCACTAAATTTCTTTTCAAATTTATGATTCCTACTGTGAGAAATTAATTATTTAAGAGCAAAACTTTCACTGTACATGGAAAACACACATCAATTTAGGTTCAAGCACTATGTACAACATTTAAGGATCCTTGAAGCATTCACTTGTTTCAAAACCTTAGACTCTTAAAAGTATATAACATCTAAGGTCTTTTCCCCTAGTTTTAAGAATAAGGCCCGTGGCTTCAGACTAGTGAAAACTGTGTTGCAGTAATATTCAAAATGGGAAATTTCATAAATTTGCTAAAGGTTTGATATTTTTATTTTATTGTAGGGAAATATTGCATTAAAAGCTGAAAAAATACCCAAAAAAGTACTGAAACCAGAATGATTTTTTTTTTAGTTATCAACAGGTACATCAGAACTAATCATCTGTACTTGAAGTTCTGAACAAGTCTTCTGAACAAGCTATACAAACTAAAGCCTTACTTGAGCCTGGGAATGACTGCCGGAGCCTCTGGCTGTGAACTTGGAGGTGCCTCAAGGGAAGGCTCATCCTTTCTACTGTCTGAGGGGGAAACATCTGTAGATTGCTCTGTAGTGAACTGCGATTCACTGTCTTCATCCACACTTTCCATACCAACAGTAAACTTCACACGAGATTTGGAATTCCTCCGCTCCCCCGACATCTTCTATAGGTTTGTGACCTGTATAACACAACCATAAATTAAACATCAATATAGTTTATTGTAACTGACTTCAGTCATCAGTATGCAACTTACTTTCAATAAAATTAAATCCACAAAGCAGGTCAAAATAATCAACACAAAAAACCCCTCATGAACATGAGTAAATCTTGAATTATATACACGTATGCATATCAAAATAATCAAAATAAACACCAATTGGGTGGTGATGAAAGCCCTGTAATCCAAACAAACTTTTTAAGCGGTGGAAGATTTCACAAAGTTCTTGAAGCCTAAAGATAAAGATGATTCCTGGATGATGCACTCTGTAACTGTAACTAGGACCATGTAGGGTAAAAATGTGCCTTACTTTGTGTGACCTATAGCAGTCAGGGAAGTGTAACGCCATCTGACACAGACAGGTAAACCAGACATATTGCAACAGTTTGTGATATAACCATTACTGTTATTAATAATCACAAATTGGCTTGCAAGAAATTTTCAATCTATCAAATATTATATAACAGTTAATAACTTAATTCCATATACAGGGCTAGACAAGAAGGGCAGCCCGATAGTCCAAGACTAATGGAATCTCCAGCTGGACAAGTGGTTCTAAAAACTGCTAGCTTGATTGACTTGTTTAATACATATCATGTTGAATAATACAAGAGGCCCATGTGCCTTAACGGTCACCTGATATATTTATACAGAGAGTTGATTTTGTTTTTAACATGAACAGAAATATTATTCAAAGTGACAAAAAACAATAAAACCACCTTATTCAATATCTAGCATACAGATTTCAGACTAAAAAGTATTTGAAACTAGCACCTCTGATTCTAAACAAGGAAAATGAAGAATTTTTAGCACACTGACTCCTTTGAGCCCCACGCTACAACCCTTGGGGGTAGGGCTGGCTCAAAATGTTCAAAGTATCAAACTGTCAACTCAAGGTTATAATTCCAATCAAGTTATTAACATGTAATATTCAAAGTATCATTT